GTCGAGGTCGTGGATATGGAGGAATGGCACAGGGACTTTGCAGGCCTGTGGGAGCGCTTGAATTTTACCCTGAGTAAAGTGAGAAGCGATTACTAGGTTTGCACAGAGGAGAGAAATGATCTAACTTAGATTTGAATAGAATCGCCCTGGCTGATATGTGGAGGAAAGCCTACGGAGGGTCTAGAGTGGGCGTAGAGAGATCTGCCTGGAGATCTCTCTTGGCTAAGCTGTTGTGCCGTTATATGGTCAAATACTAGTCTAGATGTTGTTGTAAAGATATTATTTTAGATGTGATTGACATTTTATTTTTAATTAATGTATTTAATTGTTGTTCAAGTACAGTTTTCTGTCTTTTACTCCCATCCCAGCCCACCCCCACCCAGTGCTCCCCACCTCCCTCCCATTTTCACCCCCTTAGTTGTTGTCCATGTGTCCTTTATACTAGTTCCTGTAAATCCTTCCCCTTTTCCCCTGAAATTCCCTCTCCTCTCCCCTCTGGTCACTGTCAGCCTGTTCTCTATTTCAGTGTCTTTGGTTATATTTTGCTTGCTTGTTTGTTTTGTTGTTTAGGTTCCTGTTAAAGGTGAGATCATGTGGTATTTGTCTTTCACTGCCTCAGCATAATGCTTTCCTGTTCCATCCATGCTGTTGCAAAGGGCAGGAGTTCCTGCTTTCTTTCTGCCGCCTAGAATTCCATTGTGTAAATGTACCACAGTTTTTGGATCCATTCATTTACTGCTGGGCACCTAGGTTGCTTCCAACTCTTGACTATTGTAAATTGTACTGCTATGAACATTGGGGAGCATAGGTTTTTTTGAATTGGTGTTTCGGGGTTCGTAGGATATAGTGATTAACATTTTCAGTCAGTAGAATTTAAGCGATTAATGTAGGCAGTCTTCATCCAATCGACTGAAGGTCTAAAGAGCAAAGACTGCCCTGACTGGTGTGGCTCTGTTGGCTGGGCATTGTCCCACAAAGCGAAGAGTTGTGGGTTCAATCCCCAGTCGAGGCACATGCCCGTGTTGCAGATTCAGCGCCCATCAGGGCATGGGTGGGAGGCACCCAACTGACGTTCTTCCCTCTCACATCAATGCTTCTCCCCCTCCCTTTCTTCCTTCCTTCTCCTCTCTCTAAAAACAAATAAATAAAGTCTTTTTTCAATGGGGAGCGGGGGAGACTGAGGTTTCTTAAAGAAAAAGAAATTCTGACTGCAGCGCAGAAATCCTGCCTGAGTTTCTTGCCGGCCTGTCCTGCAATCTCAGACTCGAGATTGCAGCCTCAACTCTTATCTAAACTTCCAACCTTCCGGTTCCTTTAAACAAACCTAGATAGACAGACAGAGATCTATAATAGAATAGGATATCTACCTCTCTCCCCTTTTGATCTATTTCTCAGGAAAATCCTAATACAAGGCTGTTGCAATAACCCGTGGGAACAAGGGTCAGTGATGATGGCTTGGACTCAGCAGCAGTGGAGACGGTGAGACGTGAGTAGGGTCTAGAAACATTGTGAAGGCGGCAACACTGGATTTGGCTGTGAAATGAATTTGGAAAGTGAAAGAAAGAGGGGCATCGAGAATGACTCCCATATTTCTGTCCAGAGCAGTGGGATGAATGGTAGTACCCTCGACTCTTATTGGAGAAACTGAGGAGCAACATACACAAGTCCATAGCTGAGAGAAGAGGTCAGGCTAGGAAGTGAACAGAGCACCTACCGACAACTTCAAAGCCCTTGAGACTGGGTAAGACCATCAGTCTTGGTGACTGTAGACAAAGGAAAGTGGTCTGAGGACTGAGCTCTGAGGCCCCTGGGGCATTCTAAGACCTAGAGGTCAAAATGAGAAAGAAAAACCAACCAAGAAAAGTGAGAAGATGGGCCAATAAGATTGGCAAAAAAATCTGGAGAGTGTGCATCCCAGACACTAAGTGGAGAAAGTTCCTCACTCCAAGAAAGATGGAGTGGTTGGCTGTGGCAAGTGCTCCTGGGAAAACGGTCGGTTTGGAGTCGGGGAGAGTCACAGGCTCTGGGGCATCACGGGGGCAGGCACTTCACAGGGAAGCTGGTGTGGAGAAAGGAGCGGCCCAAACACACACAGAGGCCAACTGTCACTCACTCCGATAGAGGCTTCCACACAGAGACCAGCGTCACGGTCGCTTCCCACGTCCCTGGAACAGGGAGTGTCCTGAGAAGCATCTGTCTGCGGTGGTTCAGCGGATGCAGCAGCCAGGGTTTGCATCTGGTTCTGATGGATGGTGAGTCATTCGTGAAGCAATTAGGAGGCTATGGATTGAATTATGAATTCATGTCATGTTAGGTAGATAAGAAAATCACACCTGTTCCCAGAAAGAGTGACACATGGTGAAGCCCTGGCGGGAGGGGCTGGAAGGTGAAGAAGAGAAAGAGACCATGGCCTCAGGGCCACCAAACCCTGCAAGTTCGTTTCCTGTCCCTTGGTGTGGGGCGAGTGGGGACTGAGCTTGCTCTGGTGGAAAGAACGAGGATTCAGGGGTGGGGGGACAAGCCACCTCATGACAAACTCAAAAGCTGGAGACCGATCATCCTTCCACAGACGAGAACATGAGATCACAGAGGTGATGCCACCTGCCCGGGTCATACATTTGGTCATACCCAGTTCTGGGCAGATGGCACGGCATGGTGTTCGGGCTGCGCAGGACTGAGATCAGAATGGTTCCAGCTGTAGATTCCAAGATGGGGTTTGTTGGGGAGGACCCCATGATGACGAAGACGCAGGACCACCCCCGCCTACCCTGGGGTCCTGCCGGCCAGGCGTAGGCTGCTCACCCATCCTGGGCTCCGCTAGGATGGGATTTTTTTGTTTGTCCTCCCAACAGCCACTGTGAGGTTGCTCATTGCTTCTTCTACTTACCGACGAAGAACCAGAGGCTCAAAGAAGCTAAGTAACATATCTGAGATCACACAGCCGAAAAGTCATTCAAACCCAAAGCTTCTTCCCTCCAAGGCCAAAGCCCCTTTTCTTGCACCACCATAAGCCGAGCAGAGAATTCCAACTATAAAACCTGCTCGCCCCTCTGCCTCTCACAGTAACTGTAAAAAAACTAACACAACTGGAGCCACTTTAAAACGGAGCCCGAGCTGCTGGCCCAGAGGAACCACCTCGCATGTCGTCCGCCTCCAACCTTTGGAACGGCCCAGGGCCCAATAAACCATGGACTGGGCCTCTAGCAACACCGTGTCCCAAAGAGATGTTTGCAAAGATAACAAGAAAGCAGGTCATCGTGCTTACCAGACAGCTGGTTACCAGACTGAACCTGAAAAACGTTGTTTAGAATCTACATCTCTGTGTCGTTATCTGCGCTGACGGGAATAGGCCCCGTTCTGCTGATGTCCTTCTCCCCTTCCCTTTCTCATAAACATCTCTGGCCTTTGTCTCCTAATTGGAACATTATTTGGGCCACTATGTGAATCGGCGCTTCCCAAACAACTAGTCTTGGGTCTCTGATAATCGCGTGTTGCCTCCCACTTTGAAAGGTCTTGTACTGTTAGGGGTGCGTGGGGTCAGACGTGGTGCTCAAGCTGCTTGGTCTTTGGTCACTCAACTGCGAAGTGAAGACAAGCGTCACACCCATCCTACGGAACTAAACACGAGTGTGCTCATAAAAACAGCATTGCGCCCGGCACACGCTGTAGGTCCGAGGGACGGGAGCTGTGGGAACAGATGGCGACTTCCAGCTCACAGGTGGTAAAGCACGTAAGGGTCCATTAATGTCTTCACACTCTAAGGAGTGAAGGCTGAAGTCTGGATTCAAAGCAAGCTATGGGAGCTACCCGAGGGAAGAAAGGAGGTGAGCGTCGCAGGCAGGCGGAATGGGTCCGTGAGAGCATGAGACGAGATCAGTCAGGCCTGTGAGAGGAGGTCGTTCTGAGGGAGCGTGACGAGACCTTACGCACAGGTTGGAGGGTGAGCCTTGCCCACCTGGCCGGGCTTTCTGGGTTTCCATTCATCGTTCTATGTGGGTGCCTTCCATGTGCCGGGCTCAGTGCCCAGCAGGACTGAGGCCTGGCGCGGGCACTGTTTACAGCTGCCTGGGAAGGCAGCGGTGATAACGCCTTGTGGACTCTACCCTCTTGTCCCTGACCCAACCTTCAACTGCGGAGGCATGGGCCGCGCGCTGCCTGGGAAGCAGCTGTGAGCGTAGGGGCCCTGCCACGGCGCACGCTGCCCGGGGGAGAGGGCCAGCTCAGGCAGCCCCGTCCCTCTCCCGGTGCCTCACGCGGTGGGTCCCACCGCTCTGCTCGTTTGACAGAAGAGGAAACTAAGGCTCGGTCAGAGGTGATGTGGCCTGTCCAAGATGACACAGCTGCAGCAGACTCTGGACCCGGGGCAATCTGTCTCCGAGGCCAGGCTCTTTCCTCCATGCTGGGAGAGGCTACCGTGAAAGGCACGGACAGATGAGACGAGTCAAACGTGACCTGAGGCACCAGTGGGAGATGCTAGCAGCGGCAAGGTGAGAGCCTGGGCCCAGACTAATCAGCAGGATGGTCCTTAAATAGAGCTGGGAAGGGCAGGCAGAGGGGACGGGGACCTGTGGGCACAGGGATTTCTGTACGCACCTGCCTCACCTGGCACCAGCCTGTCTCCATCTTTTCCCCAGAGAGGAACCATGGACTGACCTGGTCACAGAGACCCACGTCCCTGCTTTGCCACTGACTAGTGCCATGACCTGGGGCGTGTCAGTCAACTCCCTGTTTGTAAAATGGTCTCCCTGTCATTTCACACGGTTGGGAATCTGGAAAAGTGGAGGAAATTGGTGTGGTCCAAGGCCCTCCCACAACATGAGGCACGCACTTGAGCCCTGGGCCGCCCTGCCTTCAGTCCCTTCCTGTGAATAGACTCTAGGCTGGTCACAGAGCCAGCCAGGTGGCAACCCCACCCTGGCTGGCCAGTTAATGAGTTACCAGGGTGCTGCAGCACGGCTTATAAAAGCTGCTGGCCAGGGGAGCAGATGGCAGTTTGGTGGATGGCTTTGGTGGGCTACAGTGGGGGCAAGAGGGGTGGTAGGACTATGTCAGGGCTTTTGCTTAAAGTGGCTGTGATCCTCCTGGTGGTCCTGCAGAGCACACAGTCAGTCTACATCCAGGTGAGTCCTTCCGGCCAGCATGGCCTTTGACTAAAGGTCCCCACGTTGGGAGGCTGGATGGAGAGGGGGCACTGAGAACGCCTGGGGTATGGGGGTGGGGGGCACAGGGCCTAGGATTCAGCCCAGTCCCAGTCACAGCCCCGGGACTAAGACACCGGTGGGTGTGGGCAGCTGTCGTGCCTGTGACTGTGGGGATGGTAATGACATCAATGACAATAAACTGCTGTTATTCATCATTGCTGTCCTAAAGACCCATCCTGGTCAGAGGCCAAAGTGTGGAATGAGACGTGCTGCCTGTCCTCGAGATGCCCAGAAGGGGGAGGGGAGGCCCCTGTGGGCTCCCATATGTGCCCGTGTATGGGTTCGGTGCAGGCGATGGCCAGGAAATGTGTCCTTGGTGGGGAACTTGAGCGGACGTTGCATGATGAGCAGGAGGCAGCCGGGCACAAAGGACACAGGCTGCTCCAGACGAAGGGCACAGCGTACGAAAAGCCCAGAAAGAAGACAGCGGGGAAGAGAAAGGGGAGGGAGGGCAGGTCTGGGCGCAGCAGGGGTGTCTCCGAGGCTCCAAGGAGTCACAGAAGCAGCACTTGTCTGTGGTGTGACAGGACGCCACTGGCCTTCCAGGCATGGCCGGGGACAGCTGCAGCTCAGGCGTCTCACACTGCTGACTGGGCAGGGCCTTCCTGAGAGGGCGTCCTGCAGAGAGATGCAAGAGAGCCTCGACCTCCCCTTCCAGCCCTGGCCTGGGGCCCGGCCGGCTTGGGGTGGCCATCGTTTTGTCATGCCAGTTCAGGGGAAGTCACTCAGTTATGGAGTAGGCCAGGCACTTGGGGCGGGGAGGACATGATTACCTCCATTTGTCAGCTGAAGCTCAGAGTTGGGGGGAGACAGGCACCTGGTTGGGAAGAGCTGGGATTAGAACCGGGGTCTGCTGATCTCCAAAGCCTGTGCCTTGAACCACTGTGCTCCACAGCCTCGCTGTGACCTCAACTAGCAGTTACTGGGGGCCTGTGGCACAAGGGTGTGAAGGGTCAGACACCACCTCGCACCTCCCAGACTGTCTTTCAGATGTGCCAGATTCAGCTGATTTGGCCCTGGGAGGGTGGCAATGGCTGAGAACAGGACAGGCTCACAGGCTCTGAGGAACCGCGGTCTCCCAGATGAGGGTCCCAGGTCCTCCCATCTTCTCCTCCTTCTGCCCCCAGTACCAGGGCTTCCAGGTGCAACTGGAGTCTGTGAAGAACATGAGTGACCTGGAGACGCAGTGGGTGTTCAGCCCCCGCCTGCGGGCCCGGAGCGCCCTGCCCACCGCATGCTATCACCCGGCCCTGCCGGCAGACCTCCAGCCCATCTGCACCTCCAAGGAAGCCTCCAGCATCTTCCAGGCCTTGAGTGAGTGTCCCCACCCCATGGAGCTTTCAGCCCCTATTCGGTCTCAGACTCCGTCTCAGGCTCATGCTCGTTCATCTTATGACACTTCTATTAAGCACCCAATGGATGAAGACAGGGAGATCCAAGAAACTCAATCCCTTACCCCCCACACACACGTTTTGGCATCAAAAGTCGGGCATGAGGAAGCCCCTCACTCCCAACAGCCTGGACCAGTCGGTTGTCCTATACAAAAGACTTTGCAGATGGGAGGCAAGGGGCCCTGGGAAAGGGACCCATAAGCAATGACAGAAATGCAGAGTGATAATGGGGGGCACAGTGCAGACACAGGGGAGATATGACTCATGTCTGGGGTGGCGTAGAGTCTTAAAGGCTTTCAAGAGGAGGTGACATCGAAGCCGAAATGTAAGGGATGAAGCGGAGCCGGTCAGGAGAATACAGTGACTAGCTGCTATCTACTGAGCACCTGCGCAAGGCCAGGCCCCACGCTAGTCCTTTTGCCTGCATTCCTTTCCCACAACCATGCTGTCGGCTGAGGTAAGAGACAGGGAAGCTCCGGCAGAGGGTGCGTGACCTGCCCAGGCTTAGCCAGGAAGGAGAGGACCTGGGACTTAGGCCCGGGATGTTCACTCTGCTTCTAAACTTTCATGCTCTTAATCTCTGAGAGAGATGGTGGCCCCCTCCCAGACCCTCTCCTCGGCGGGCCTTCCCTGGCCACCTGGCCAGCAGCTTCCTGGACCACACATCTCAAGTTCAGGTTCAGCTGACCGAACTTCTCTCCCTGCCCAGAGAACATCGCCAATGATGACTGTGAGCTGTGCGTGAATGTCGCCTGCACCGGCTGCTTCTGAGATGGCCCTGGGCACCTTGAGCCCACCCTGGACACCTTGGCCGCCCAAACCACTGCCCGCATAGCCCCATGGCCATCCAAGCCCTGGCCACCTCAGTCATTGCCACCCTCTCGAGGCCAAATCAGTCAGATCTGGCACAAAGCAGCTGGACCCACAGTTGGAGGAGCCTTTGACCCCTTAAGCATCCCTGCTGTTGAATAAAGATTCTCCACTCACACATGGAATCAGTCCCTTTGTTCATCCCCAGGAGCCATGGGCAGAGCCTCTTGGGAAGCTGGATGGGTGTGGACAAAGTTTAGACTAGAGTCAGGAATTTCCCTGGTTTCCAACACCCAGGGAGTTGGCTCACTAAGCCATGCTTGGTACAGAAGGGAATGAGGCTGGGGGGGGGGGCGGTATAATGAGGCACCCAAGGTCACAGAGCTAAGAAGCCACAGAGCATCCAAACTCATTTACCCGGAAGCTGCGCTCAAAGCCTGGCCCAGCCGCAGAGCCAGAGCTTCTGCTCTCCTGCTGGGGTGGGCGGGGGTGGTGCAGGGTGCAGGACGGGGGAGCTTCCTCTGGTGGTTAGGGCAGGAGTGGGTGAGCCCAGGATCACGTGGCACCCCTCCAGGAGCGCATCCTAGGGCTGGCTTCCCGGGCTGCCTGAGAAGATGGGCCTTTGTCCTTGACCCTTCTGTGCCTGAGCATCCCCCCTCCTTGGGCTCCCCAGGACCATCTGCCCAACTCCAGATAGATCTTTGCTCTCTCTCTCTCCATCCTGATGGCCCTGAAGAACATTAATAATAGCCACTGTTTATTGAGTTTTTGCTATTCTCTAGGCACTATTCTAAACCTTTGCCAGTATTAACTCACTAAGCCCTACAACATTCTAACCAAGCAGGTACTATTATTATCACCATGTCCACAGTACGAATAAGGAGACCCGGGTATGGAGATGACTAGTCGCAGGTCACAGGCTCAGCAAAGTGGCAAAGCAGGATTCTTCCTGGGATGTCTGGGTCGGAATCCATGCTCTGAAACCCCATGTTACTCGCTCTCTGTGACACCTGGCTGCGGGGCCCAGTGCCACCGCATTCCTGCAGTGGCCTTCAGGGCCTTAACTCCAGGCCCAGAACCATGCTGAGGCAGGGCCTTTCCACAGCATGGGCTCTCCCCCCACAGCCTCTGTGTAGGGCAGTCAGAGAGGAGGAGAGCCAGGTGCAAAGGGGCCCGGCCCTCTGAACTCAGCTCACACAGGGCCAGGGCGAAGGCCAAGATGCATTCCCCCTGCTGACTACCCAGTTCCGCTCGTGAGTCCTGCAGTCTCCTGGCCCACCAGGCCACAGACCACGGAGCTCCAGCCCCTTTCTCCTACTGCCCCCACAGGCCAGACTGGCTGGCTGGGGCCTTTGCAATGTGTCCTGTGTCCCTCTGGTCTCCTCCTACCCCTTTTACCATCACTCCAGCTGGGCCCTGAGCTCCCTCTCTGCCCTGCTTTCCCTATCCACCACACCAGAGGGACATCCCATGCTGCTCTGTCGGTGCTCATCGCCCTTGCCTGGCTCCCCGTGCTGCTTCTCAAGTCTAAACTGAGCGCCTCAGCCATCTGGCCTCATCTCTTACCGGTCCCTGCAGCTATGCTGGGCTCCCACCTGCCTGCCTGGGGAGGAGGCAGGGAAGAAAACTGCCACTGGCCAAGCATCTTCTATGTGCCAGACACAAGGCTGAGCCACCCACATAATAATAATAATAATAATAATAATAATAATAATAATAATAATCATAGCAGCATCGACAAAGCGCTCACCATGGGTCCAGCCGCCATAGCTCTGACAGCTTTGCCTCTATTACCTCATTTAATCTTCACTCAAGTGCATTTTATTTAGGGGTAAAAAACAAGCTTTAAAACAACTCATTTCTTAAAGTTCCAAAAGTGGAATTTGGAACTTCTGTCCCTCCTGTCTCTCCTCATTCTGTCATCCCCACTTTACAGATGAGAAAACTGAGGAAACAGGCTGCGTGACCTGCCCGCAGCTGGTGATGGGCAGAGCCGGCTCACACCCGGGGGCTCCAGAGTGGAGCATGAGATGATTCTGCTCCACCACCGGTCTCCTCGCATCCCCTGGCCCCTGGGAGGCAGGCTCTGTTCTCATCCCTACTTCTGGTGGAGGAAACCAAGTCTCACAGAGGGGCGCACGGCTTAGAAATGACATGCTCAGGCTCAGACTCAACCCGTGTGCCTCCCAGACTCTACCTGCCCATGTTAGTAAATAGAAGATTCATCCACTCGGCGCTAGCGGAGCCAAACACTAAACACCAAGAACTGCACTAGCTATTTTATTATAAATGGCACTACCCTGGACATGAGAGGCTATTATTCAAAAGCCTGAACCCCACCCCCCCAGTGCCGTGTAGGTTACAGATAATATAGGACCAAAATCACAAGACACTGTGATGGGTCATGTGGACAGATCTGAGGTCTGCTCTGGCATCTCTTGGTCTAGTTTCCTGAAAAAAGTAGCCAGGAGGTTAGTCCCCCTTAGGACTTAGGAGCTGACACCTAACTTAGCTTAGCAGAAAACCAGATCTTGTGACCCTTACCCAAGGAATGGCCGTGGTTCCTGGCTGCCTGAGGGGGTTAATGATTAGTAAGGGAAAGGGCTAAGGCTTACAGCACACCGTGAATGGAGTGCTCAGCTTGTACATCAGGTAGAAATCACACATTAAAGCACGACCCCCGTCTCACCCAACTGAAACATCCCAGAGCCTTGGACCTTCCTGCTTCTGTGGGCATCCTCACCAGCTCCACTTCTGGAAGGGAACCCCTCTGCCTCCCCATTTCCACACAGGTTTTGAAACTCCACCCATCCCAATGCAAATCCCAAGGGCTAATGCAAATGTCTGCCTCCCCCTCCCTTCACTAAGCCTTCCCTGACTTGGATGACTACACCTCACCCTCTGAATTCTGCAGCTCAGAGAACCCTGCTTCAATCACCCCGTGGCACTTCCTCTCCGCTCCACCCCCCAAGCTTACGTCCTCTTTCACCCTTCCCTTTACAGTTATGAACAGGTCTCCCTCCAGGCCTCACCTCCTCACCCCAGTCTGAACCATTCTCAGTTGCCCCTGGTTCCCCTTTCTTTTGTTTATTTATCTCTACCACTTATCGAATTCTCTTATGTTTGCAAACAGCCAGAACTTTACACACACACACATGTACACGCAGTATTTCCCCTAGTGTCGGAAGCAGGCGCTATGCCTATCCCAGTTTTACAGAGGAGGAAGGAGACTAAGACACAGAGAGGGAAAGCAACTTTCCTGACATCACACAGCACGTGGAAGGCCCAGGACTGGAACTGTGTAGCTCTTGCTTTCCCCTGCTCTCTGTTACAGTCTCCAGCCATCCTCCACGTGCTGGGCCTCGTGTGCTCTGACGGCCAGAGAGACTTCCTCGGGCACAGAAGCCATTATACTGCAGGGAGGCCAGAGCTGCGCGAGGGGTGCGAGTGACCAAAATGCCCTGGGAGCACCCAGGACAGAGTGGGAGCTGGAAGACCCTTCCTGGGAGAGGGGAAAGCCTTCTGAGGAGAGGCCCTGGGAGCGTGGGTGCCTGAGTGGGAGCTGACCTGGCCAGGAGTGTGGGCAGAGGAACAGCACAGAGGCGAGGGGGCCAGAGCAGGAGCTGTGGCCTGGGGTGGGGGCCCAGGGTGGTGGGGGGAGGGCAGGAAGCAATGCTAAAGTGGTCGGCAGGGACCAGGCGCCTTGATTGCTCTGGAGCTCGGGGCCAGTCTCATAGGTCCCTGTGACTACTGTGCTCCCATGTGGCTTAGTGACTTTGGTGACTCCAGGTGTGAAAGGAAAGCAGAGGTTCCACCTCCTCCGCTGGTGGTCTGCATATTCACGACCCTCAGTGCCTGTGTGCGGTGGTTGGTAGCTCAGCAGGGAGAGCAGGGTCCTTGCACTTAGCACAGCAAGCCCTGAGGGCAGGGAGGGCTTTCCTGAAATTGGATGATGAGTAGCCTGAGGGATGAAGAAATGAATGAAAGCAACACCAGGAGTACATGGGAATCTGGTTTATTAGATGCAGGTTGGAAAAGCTGCAGGCAGCTCGGATGGAGTTAGGGGCTGGGTCTTTCCAGGCTGTTCTCTCCTCAGTCCTCCGATGGGAGCAGGGTGGATTAAGCCGCCAGAGTGAGAGCCTTCTGTGGGGGAGGGGCAAAAGACAGCAAGCCCCTGCTGTCCTAGCATCCAGTACAGGCTGCATAGGCACAGATTTCACACAAGTTCGGGTCCTCAGCAATGGCCTCTGGACAGGAGAGATAGGGGTCCATGAGAGCCAGCTTCTCTTCCCCAAATCCCCCATCCTCCAGGAAGCCAAAGCTCAGACATCTGCCACCCAGCCCCCAGGAGAAACCTGGGCCTGTCCTCTGTGACCAGCTGGGCTTTCTGCCCCAAACCAAGACACAGGTACTGCTTAAGCCAACCAACCAATCAGAGCAGAAATTCTACCCAGAAAAGAGCTACAGCTAAGACTAGATGAACCATGACACAGAGCCACTTAAGCATCAACTCCAGCCAGGCCCTTCCTAAAGTAAGCCTTCCCAATCACAACTCAGAAGAGGGCTTCAAATGACCACCAATCAGAGCAGAGCCCCCCCCTGAAGCCCACCAATCAGAGCACATTTCTCCCTCAAGTGCCATCAGTCAGGGAATTCCCAAGCACCACCCATCAGAGAGGAAGCTACTCACCCAGCCTCTGGAGGACCTCCCTGGCATTACGCTCCTTGCAGAGAGGCCCGAGTTCTTTGGGAAAGTTGGGATGGTTACAGAGGGTGGGAGCCACACCAGAGCTCCTGCGGCTGGGCTGCCGGAGATCTCCGAGATCCTTGAGCTTCTTCACAGACTCCAAAGAAAAGGAGAACTTTCCATCCTGAGAGAGACATGTCCAGAGCATGAGGCCAGGCTGCAGCCTGCTCCCTGACCATATTTCTTCCAGTACTGGCCCCTCTCCAGCCCCCATGGCTTGAGCAGTGTTTGTGGCCAATGGAAACCAGACACCACTGCAGGCCCTTGTGAGGTGGTTAGAGCTCAGGACCCACAGCCAGACTGTGGGCTGGAATCCTGATTGTGCTCTGTGGCCATGTACAGGTCCTTACACTCTGAGAGCCCTACATTCTGCATGTTGTGAGGAATGGAGAAAACGGATGGAACGTGTCAGAGGTA